TCTATCTATCTATCTATCTATCTATCTATCTATCTATCTATCTATCTTATTTTTGCCCTCGAGGAGCTTACAACTTAGTATGGGAGGTAAAAGACATAAGTCATTTGAATTATACATAGATAACTATATAAAAACATGATTAAATGCCTATCTTTAAAGGATTGTACTGTGGAAGTGAGGACGCAAAGATTACAATGGTAAGTGAGTTCAGATAATTCTGAAGGAGGAAGTACACAGAACAAAATAGAGAGCAGGCTGGGTTTGAGCTTCTGGAAAATTGCCCTGGGTATCAACAAAGTTTGACTCACTCAGCCTGTAGGGAAGAGAAGGGAGGGGAGATACAGGGACTCACCAAGTCCTGTGTTCTAATGTCCACAGCTTTGGGCCCCTCCGCTGTTTACTCTGATTGGGACATTCTGTTCTACTACCAGTGACCGGGATGATGCAGTTCCTTGGTGTCCACCACACACCCTTCCCCTCCTCTTTTTCCTCCTCCCCCAAGTCTGGTTGGAGTTTCATGGCCTCCATTCGCCGTAGCTTCTCCAAGTATGAGGACAGCTTCTCCAGACTTGGCTGCCACCTTCAAGGGGAGCTTGAGCTAAAGACAGACTTAGAGGTGGAAGAGTTGTCTAGCCCAAATTGTCCAAATTCTGATAGAAAGTAACAAAGAACCTGACCATTTGAGTTAGCTAGGTGGGGTGTACTACCCTTAGGGTCAGGAAAGACCTGAGTTCAAATCTAGTCTTAGACACTGGAGAAGGAAATGGTAAACCACTCTAGTATCTTTGCCAAGAAAAGCCTAGGTAGGGACAGCACTGGCCTGCTATGTGTTCCATGGGGTAATGAAGAGTCAGACATGGCTGAGCAACAACAAAGCTGTGTGATTCTGGGCAAATTACTTAACCTCTGCCTGCCTCAGTTTCCTCGACTATAAAATGTGGATAATAATGGCACCTACTTCACAGGGTTGTAAGGATCAAATGATACAATATTTGTAAAGCACTTAGCAGTACCTGGTACATAGTAGGTGCCATATAAATGCTTATTATTATTATTATTACCTGCCGTGAAAAAGACATAGCTTCCAGGAATAGTGATAGTACCTCTATACTGGGCCTTGGAGTATTGTGTTCAGTTCTGGGCTTTGAAGTTGAAGGATACTGATAAGTGGGTGTGTGAGTGCCCAGAGAGGGGCGGCCAGGGTGATGACAGACTTTGAGTTCAGGGTCACATCAGGATTGATTGGGTAGATGTGTTCAGCCTGAAGAATAAGATGATTCGGGGGAAACATGAGAGACATGTTCAAGTATTTAAAGGACTGACATACGGAAGAAGGACTGGGCATTTTATTTGGCCTGAAGAGACACAGAACCAGGAGCAAAGCGCACCTATGTGACTTTGATGTCAGGAAACCTTGGTAACAATGAGAGCCATTTCAGAGTGGATTCCCTATAGCTGGAAGTCTTCAAGCAGAGGCTGGGTGACTACTTTTATGAGTCTTTCTTTAGATGGCTGGCTGCTAAGACCCTTTTCCAACTCTGAACTTTTTTGAAGTTCACCTTTCCTATTGGGTGGTGAAATGGGGCTGATTAGACCTTCAATTATAGAATCATAGGATTGAAAATCTAGAGAAGAGGGGGACCCAGAGGCCATTGTGTGTGATTAACACATTCACATTTTACAGGTTAGGAAGTTGAAGACCAGGAAGGTAAGTGATTTGCCAAAGATCACAGGTAATGAGAATTACAGGTGGGGTACTTAGCCTCAAGATGCCGATAGTTTAGTGGGGGAGATCCAACAGACAGAACAATTCTTAAATTGAGCATATCACTGAGCAGATAGAACGAGATAAGGAAGGTTTTCAGTGAGAGCATCTTTTTATTCCCGTGAAACAAGGAAAACCCAGGACCCTCAGAAAGGCCTCATTCAAGTTTTGCAAAAGCATGTGCCATCATCTCATCACATCATGTCCCCAAAGTTTGTCAGGACCATCTCCTTTAAATCTCCTTCCGCCTTAGGTACTCTGGGTGGAAAAACCAGCCTTTTGCTGCTTTACCAGATAATGGGGTCCACTAGGCCCTTTCCAGGGACCACCTTAGGAAGACTACAGATTATTTGTGATGGCTGGCGTAGGGTGGAATGTGATCATGGAGTCCATGTGTATGGAAGCTACCTAACTTATTTAGGGATTATTCAGGAATAATAAAAATAGCTATTGAGTATGTAGTACCTAAGATGTGCCAGGTCCTATATGAAACCTTAACACATACTACCTGATTCAATCCTCACAACTCTAGGAGGTAGATACTATTATTATCTTCATCTTACACTTGAGGAAACTTAGGCAGAGCTGAAGTGTCCTAAGCTATAATTGAATCAAAGTCTGACTCCATCAACCTTAGTCACCTAGCTGCCTTATTAACTTAATTAACTAATTACTGAATTAGAATACAGTCAAGAACTTTAGTTCTTTGAAGTTAAGCACTTTACTCTTCAGAGCCTCTTAAGTTCTCACTTAGAGCATATTTGTCTTCATGTTATACAATCCTAATGAGTATGGGTTATCTTCATTCTAAACTTAAAAATAGCAAATCACAGCAGTGGTGAAAATCAGGGAACTGCAGGGAAATGCAGCTGAAGGCATCACTGTGCTATGTAATGGCTAATATTTCTATGTAACTTTCAAAGGCTTGCAAAGTCCTTTACATTTGATCTCCCAGTAGCACAAAATGATGCATAATGATGACCTTGAGTCATCAGGAAAAGGTATATACATACAACATATATATACAAGATATTTTATTTATGAACACAGCTAACATTTACATAGTGCTTTTTAAGGTCTGCAAAGCGTTTTACATATTTAAGGTAGGCAAGTAGATGATACAAATTATAAACTTTAGTGTATGATGAGATAAACCTTCAGCTGTGTAAGAAAAGTTTCCTGTCCAGAATAACATATTCCTTGAGATTTCCAGATATTTGAGGTGTTACCTAAGGCCCTTTTCAATTCATGTTATCTGAAAAATGAGTTAATAGAGTAAAGATGAAAAGAAAACAATAGTCCTTTATGCTTCTCCCCCACAAATATTTGAGATGGCTCACCATATACAGGAGCGGGTAGGGTGGGATATATGTGGAAATGTTATATAAAAAGATCAATAAAAATTTAAGTTCAGTAAAATCAGATTAACATACTACAATACATTAAATATCAGTAGTCCCTCACCTTTACAATAAGGGGATTCTTTTCCTTACCTCTTCTTCAGGGTCAGACTTGGCCATCTTTTGCATATGGTCTTCCTGGTTATGCTTACTTCATTTTGCACTAATTGATGTCTCTGTGCTGTCTAAATTCTTCATATTTATCATTATTTAATGTTGGATTAATATTCCATTACTTCACACACTATTTGTTTAACCATTCCCTAAACGATGGACATTTTATTTCTAGTTCATTGCCACTATAAAATTTTATATCTATATTGGACTTTTGTTCATGTCTTTTACCTCCTTGTGGCCTATCTCTAGCAGGGTCTGAGAGTATTTTAATCGTTTTTTTCCCTCAAAAATGGCTCAAACAGATCATGGCTCCCCCAGTAGTTTGTGTCTTATCATCACAACCCTTCTGACACTGACTAGCCCCACCATTTGACATCTGTGGATTTACCAGTAATGCAAGCTCACGTTTTGATTTCCATTTCTTATTAGTAAGTTATTAGGAAGTTTTCGTACTGTTTTATTTTCGAATTCTCTTGAGAACTTGATGATTCTTGCTCTCAGCTACTTGTGTTATTTGGGTCATCTGATCATTTAAGAGATGTGATACAAAATTATTTTCCCCGTGACAGCTTTCCTGCTTATCTTTTCATTGATTTTGTTCATGCAAGAGAGCTTTTATAATTCACGTAAACAAAATTCTCTCTTTTATCCTTACTGCCTCTATTGTTTTTGTGGTTAAGGAATTTTTCCTAGCCATAGCTTCTTTGAAAGATTACTACTATGGTTCTAATTTTTTTAATGGTAGGACCTTTAAAATTCGGGCTTCATTTTCATTTTTAGCTTTTTAAAGGAGCAGTTTAAAACCCAATTTCTGAAAAACAGCTTTCCAGTTTTCCTAACAGCTCTTGTCAAATAGGGAGTTCTTCCTCAGTTAATTTATAAAACATTGGATTGTGTTAAATTGCATTTCATTCAATTATCTGCTTTTAATAAGTGATTATTGTCTAATTATTATGTTCCTAAAGATCACTTTACCTTTACTGTACAGTATCTCTAGCCCCTTCCCTTCACCACAACAGCAATAAAGCCCTTGGTCCTCAGAGGATGAGACCACCAAAGAATTGTTCACAAGACAGAAAACAGGGCATAGTTTATAAGGTCTTTTAAGACTATGAATTAAATGAAGGCCAAGGGACTAAGTACCCCTCCCCCAATTAAATGATGATTCAAGGCTTGCTGGTAGGATACTTAACTAGGAACAAAGAAGTGGGGAAAAATTTGAGTTGGCAGAGGAAAAAACATGTCTAGTAGGAAGACGTGTTCACTGCAAGAAAAGAAAACCAAACATTCCAGGTGTCTTACAGAAAGTGGGAGGGCCTACAATATGAACAAAGAAACTGAAGCCTGCATTTCTCCAACTGGGGCTGATTCAAAATACTGGTACTAAAGTAATCTGTGTCTTAGGCTTCTGAAGTCTCCACATTCTTGGGGGGGTGCGCGCAGAACAAGCAGCTACTGGGTTCATCCAACAAGAAGCCACAACTTTATTGATAGAAACAGTACAAATTTCAAATCAGGTTGCATTTAATCTTCTCTGAAACACTGAAAAAGTCTTTTTTTCTCCAGATTGTTACATCGTTAATTCCTGCAAAAGAAAAATGATAATCAGAGAAAGGGATGGATAATTCTGAAAACTCCAATCAACAGAGACTAGACACTAACAGAAAATATTGGGCTTGAGGATGAATGCCTCCCTGATGAACAGAGATCAAGGGCAGAGTCTTAAAAGCAAAGTGGGGGTTGGGTGCTCCCCAGACAGGCTGCTCTGCTTTTAAGGATACTAAGAGGATCCAAAACCACACAAAAGTTGTTACATAGTTCAAAACGTCTCAAAACTCCACTTTATTAAGGTTAATGGTAGAATTTCTAAGTGAAACCTTCACTAAGAATCAGAGCAAAGGGAAAGAGAGAGGATATCAACACTTACCATAATAGCATTTACAATATCATTACTGTTGTTCTTTAGTGCTCGGACAGCCTTTGCTCTGGATACATTTGCTTGGGACATGACCAATTCTATGTCCTTAACTTCCACACCTGTTTCGTCAACCTGGGGAAAAGAAAGAAAACTTAAGACTATAACCATGGGCAAGACCGAACCTGGTTCAAGAGACTTCTGGGTTACCAGACAGATCCAATACCAAGCTCCTCACTAGCAGTTAATACTAGTTAATTGGAATAGCAAGCTGTCAGTAATGCCAAATGATACCAGCTCCTCACATAATTTGAGAATAATTAAGGCTAAGAAATCACAGACGTAGAACAAGAAGAACAAGATGTAGAACTTTAGAGGTCATCTCGTCCATATCTCCCCCCTCCATTTTACAAATAAAGAAATTGAGGCCCAGAGAGGTTAAAGGGCCTAACTGCCAGGCTCTATGAGCTGTGACACTGGGAAAGGACTTCCAAGAACCATCACCACCACATAGGACAAAGCAGCTCATCAAGAAATCATTACAAAAACACTCTGTCCCCAACCCCTCGTTATACCTCCTCCTCTTCACTTTCTTCTTGTACAGTTGGAGTTTGTGTATTTTCCTGGATGTTTGAAACAGCTTCACCCTGTACTTTGAATTTTTCAGCAGCAGCTAACTGTGCCTGCTGAGAGAGATCCTCAATCTGCAAAATGAAAAACACAGGCAGAGATACTCATTAGTCTAGATCAGCCAGGGGATTCTAGACAAGCCCAAATGCCAGCTCTAGATTGCTTGCCCACCCCCATAGTTCTGTGCCATAGGAGAGAACAACTTCAAAACCTCTGGCTCAGTCATGGAGCCCAGCTCACCTTGGCTTCCCCAAAGACTATGTAGGTATCTGAGGCTGGGCTCTTGTAGACGTCTGGCTTTGTGATTACAAAGAGGATATTCTTAGACTTCCGGATGGTGACTCTAGTAACCCCTGTCACTTGTCGAAGTCCCAGTTTGGACATAGCCTGCAAAGTGAGAGGAAATAAATGGAAACCAAAATTCCCAGCTCAAGAAAGGAGCTTTAGGTGTGACACATATCAGAAACCTAACATCCAAGATAAAAATCACCTCCTCAGCTCAAAAGACCTTGCTAACTGCTGAGAAGGAAAGGTCTGCCAGGATCTCTGGATTCTTTGGTTACCTTTGCTCTCCACGAGATTAATTTTCTTTAATGTTAGAATGTTAGAGATGGAAGTTAATAGAAGAGAAATACCCCACGACATCAGGTTTGCTAATATCATTCTCCAAAATAATTTCAAGAAAGCCCCTATTCCCTTCCTTTTGACTCCTTCATACCTTTCGTGCTTTCTTTTCACTTCGACTCTGTTTTGCTTTACTGACTGGTTCCTCGTCGATCTCAGCAGCTGCTGCCAGCTGGTGAGAGAAAAGTAAGATTCAAATCAACTCCACCAGAGTCCTAGAAGGCTCATATCCGCCCCCATGGATGGTCAGTTCCCTCACTTGAAGGCCAGCATTTTCTCAAAGCCTCCTTTTCCAACAGAGCTCTCTGAGATTAATTCTACAATGACCCTTTTCTTCCAAGAGGGAACTTTCATTTTTCTTAATAAGTTTTTATTGATATTTTCAGTTTTTTACTTCACAATAGTATCCTACGTATTCCTCCATTCCCAGAGAGCTACCCCATATGAAAAGTAGTATTTTTTGGAGAGAAAAAAAAGGGAAAAAAAGCCAGCACAACTGACTGACATAAAAGATGTGTAACACCCATGGACCTCCCACCCCCTCGATGGGGTGAGTTGGGGGGTTGTCCTCTCAAATCTCTTCATTCAAGTCCTGCATGATCTTCATAATTTATTTACGTTTGATTTTTTTGGTGTGTAGTTGTTCTGTGAATTTATTTTGCTGTGGTTAATGTGTATGTTGGCTTCTTGGCTCTGCTTACTTCACTCTGCCTTAGTTCATATAGATCTTGCCATGCTTTTCTGTATTCACCACACACATCATTTAGCATTCCATTACATTCATGTACCACAATTTATTTAGCCATTCCCTGGTCAATGGGCACCCACTATGTTTCCAATTCTTAAGTATCACAAAAAAAGTGCTGTTATAAATATTTTGGAGTTTATGGGGACTTTTTTCTTCCATGGTATATAAATTCAGTACTGGAGTTTCTTGTTCAAAGGGAATGGACATTTTAGTCATTTGATTTCCATCATTTCAAACTGCTTTCCCAAATGGTAGTACCATTTCACAGCTTCACCAACACTATACTGTGCTGCCCCATCTTTCCACAAGCCCTCCAACACTCTGACCATGTGACCTTTGTCACTACCAAAAGGGAATTTTTAAGGGAAATGTGCTTACCTGGGCCTGTTGTGTGGTTGCCTGTGTAGAATCCTGTTCCTCAAGCTCTGGTACTGATTCATCGCTATCAGATTCTGTTCCAGACCCTGTGAAGAAAAAAAAATCTTTATTTTCTAATAGTTACTTTGAAGAAGGTACCTGAAGAGGAGGTGGGGGGTGGGGGTAGCAGAAGCCACTTACCATACCCCATAGACTAGCATATCATGCTGTTTCTTTTGTTAGAAGCTGACTCCAAACGAGAAGATTTCTAGGAAGCCAGCTAGGCCGGTCCCAACATAACGGTTACTGTGGGTGTGCACACACAACTTTATACATAAAGGACTCAACCCCAAAGATGAAGGCAGTATGAGAGATGCAACCAATGATTGCTTTCCACCCTTTTAGATTTCTCACTTCTTAGCAAAGTCCACTTTATGTTGGTTTGTTCAAGTCCAATCTCACCACACCCCTTCAACTATCCTGGAACAAGTTTTGCAAGCAAGGTATAACCAGTGACCAAGTGACACATGTGAAGCAAATTTAGTCTGGCTATACAGTAGGGGGAGGGGGAGTTGCGAGCGCACAAGCCAGGCAGGACATTTCCTCCCTCTCTTCAAATAGGCAAGGAGCCATAAATAGTTGGTACAGGAGTTTGACAACTTTAAAGCAGCTTTCCCCTAGAAGTTTGTACTAGATTAATTAAAATTTCCCAGCAATGCCAAATTACAGTCTGATTAGCAACACCTTCACTAATATTGAAGTCACCACATTCTTTCTCTTATTGATTCCTCTGAATCCCCCGATATTTTAAAGATTAAAATTTTTCCAACTGAAAGGTAAGCATGATTAAAAACTACTGAAGAGCAAATCTGCTGTACCATCTCACAGAGGGAAAGATAATACAGACAAAAAGTCCTATATCTAATATAGATTTATAAGAGTCCCTGGGCCTCAGTCATTGACAAATTGTAATGTGACAGGAAAAGAAAATCAAGGCAGCTAGAGACCCCAAACTCTATCATACAATCCTAGGCCCAGGGACATGGTTAGTGATATGGGTTGAGATTAAAGCAAATGACAGTGCAGTGGGTCTTGGTTTTCAAAGTCAGACTAGGTAGGCAGGGAAAGGAGTTGATGGGAGACTCAAGAGTCTAGTTTAGTGACCATACCACATGAAGTTGCATGGGGCAAGTCCGAGGTGATGAAAACCAAGAACCCACACCATTTCCCCAAAGTCTGTGCATTTGAAAATACCATTCTATGATCTACGTTCAAACACAAGCAAGGATAGGGGAGAGTGGCGAATCCTAAGGTTAGTATTGGTGGGTGGCCCTGGGAAGGGTGCGGGCGACACACCATGCACACGGCAAACCAAGGCGAATACCCTTGTTGTTCTTCAAAACGGGCTGCTTGGCAGGAGGGACTGGGGCAGGGACCCCAGTAGGTTTGGGGGTGGATATGTCCACCAGGACCGGCTGGAAAGGCACTCCCCCTGAGGGTGGTTCCGGGGGGATCAGAGGCGGCAGCTCGTCCTCATCAGCTGGGGCTTGGGGCTTACAGGGTGCTTCGGGCACCAGCCCAGGTGAGGACGGCAGAAGAGGCTGCTGTTTAGGGAGCAAAGGAGAAGGGACTGGGGAGGGAACAAGAAGCAAAGAAACTGGTGGGATGGGAGCGGGAGAGAGAGAAGCTGACTCAGCCTTAGTAAGGTTGGATTCGGAGGCAGCAGCTACTAAGGGAGAGGATGGGGCAGGAGTAGGCAATGTGAGATCCTTTGAAGAGGAAGCAGGACCTTCCTCCTTTTCAGTAATAAGGGGACCTTTAGAAACCTGGGGAGCACCTTTTTGGCCTAGAGGAGCTCCTGTAGTACCAATCTTAGTTGAGGGAGCAGGGGAAGCTGCTGGGGAAATAGGAGTCCTAAGGGGTGAAGTAGCATGACCTTTCTTGGCTGATGGGCCTTTTGGAGTTGGGACAATAGGTGTACTCTTGGGAGCTGTATGGGCAGAAGAACCCTTCTTATTTGGGGGACCTTTGGGAGCTTGAGAAGAGACACTGGCTTCCAAAGGTGAGACCACTTCAGAACTGTGATTAGTGGCCCCTTTAGGGGTTATAGTCAATACTGTGGAAGGAGAAGCTGATTTGGGAGATGGAGGAACAGGGCCATCTTTGGGAGGTGGAATTCTATCTGACAAAGCAGGAGCCTCTTTGTGAGCTAAGTCAGGTGGACCACCAGAACCCTTTTTGGGTAGGGACCTTTTAGAAGTCTGAGGAGAGACAGCTGCCACTTTAGGGGATGGAGAAGTAGCAGCTGGGGGAGTGGGGGCACCTTTAGCTGCTGCAGGGGAAGTAGCAGAGCCCTTCTTGGCTGGGGGCC